ATCCTAATACTATTTATTTGATTTTGCGATCAGTGAAGTAAATTTCAAAATTGTCATTGATTCAGTAGAAACAGGATCAATGATTTTCATTATTAACATTGCGATTTACTAATGAAAATTGTATATTCTTTTGCTTATCATTTATCAAGAGCCCAAGAAAAACGTGCATGCGTTTTTGCATGTGGTTCAATATATGATTTAGTTTTCCCTTGAAAGCAGGATACCATTTTTCAGAGAAAGTTACTTCTTTTGAGTCTGGAGAAATTATATAGTAATTTGGTGCATCTGTGTGAGACTGTATTTGTTTGTATATTATCCTTGTAGCTTTCTCATTGTGTTCTTGATAGAATTAAATCTGGCCAGGGGCATCAAGGGCAACAAGAAAAGCTTCTATAGATACATTGGTGATAAAAGGAAAACTAGGGAAAATGTGGGCCCATCTAAGTGGACTTATGCAAAGCATTTGTCACCGTCCCACATGACATCCTTGTCTCTGAATTGGAGAGACATGGATTTGATGGATCGACCACGCTGTGGATAAACCAATTCCAATTGTCTTTATGGTTGCACTCAAAGAGTTGCAGTCAATGACTTGATGTCCAAGCAGAGATCCATGACAAGTGGCGTTCCTCAAGAGTTGGTATTGAAACCAGTGCTCTTTAATATCTTTGTCGGCAACATGGACAGTGAGCGGCAACATGGACAGTGAGATTGAGTGCACCCTCAGCAAGTTTGCCAAGGACACCAAGCTGTGTGGTGTGGTTGACACATTGCGGGGAAAGGATGCCATCCAGAGGGACCTTGACAGGCTGGAGAGGTGAGCCTGTGCAAACCTTAAGAAGTTCAACAAGGCCAAGGGCAAGGTCTTGCACATGAGTCAGAGCAATCCCAAGCACAAGTACAGGCTGGGCGGAGAATGTACTGAAAGCATTCCGGAGGAGAAGATTTTGGGCATGCTGGTTGATGAAAAACTCAACATGAGCTGGCAATGTGTGTTTGCAGCCCAGAAAGCCAACTGTATCCTGGGCTGCATCCAAAGAAGTGTGGCCAGCAGGCTGAGGGAGGTGGTTCTGCCCCTCTACTCTGCTCTCATGAGAGCCCACCTGGAGTACTGCTTTCAGCTCTGGGGCCTCCAACATAAGAAGGACTTGAAGCTGTTGGAATGGGGCTAGAGGAGGACCATGAAGATGATCCGAGGGCTGGAACACCTCTTCTATGAATAAAGGCTGAGAGAATTGGGGTTTTTCAGCCTGGAGAAGACAAGCCTCCAGGGAGACCTTCTAGTAGCCTTCTGGTACTTCAAGGGAGCCTACAAGAAAGCTGGAGTGGGAATTTTTACAAGGGCATGTAGTTATAGGATAAGGGATAACGGATTTAAACTGAAAGAGGGGAGATTTGGATGAAATCTAAGGAAGAAATTCTTCACTCTGAGGGTGGTGAGGCAGTGGAACAGGATGCCCAGAGAAGTTGTGGATGTCCCATTCTTGGAAGTGTTTGAGGCCAGGCTGGATGAGGTTTTGAGCAACCTGATCTAGTGGAAGATGTCTCTGCCTATGGCATGGAGTGGTTGGAACTAGATGATCTTTAAGGTCCATTCCAACCCAAACCATTCTACGATTCTATGATTCTATGTTTTTCAAAAAAAATCCATAAGAACAACCTGGGGGGCAACAAGCTGCTCTCCATTCAGTCCCTGTGAAAATCAAGGAGAACATCTCCTTGGAACACAATTCTGTGGGCACGTGATGGAGAAGAAGGTGATTAGGAATATTCAGCACAGATGTCCCAAAGATGAATCACACCTGACCTACCTGACTAGTTTCTGTTGTAAAATGACTCGATTTGTGAATGAAGAGAGAGTAATACCTCAACTTCAGCAAGGCTTTTGTCTCCCTCATGTATCCAAATTAGGATGTATGGATTGTATGGGTGAACAACTGGATGTATAAAACCTACTTGGATGTCAGGCTCAGAGGGTGGTTGTTAATGGGATGTATACAAGTGGAGAGGAGCTGAGGACTGTCCTGTTTAACATTTTAATCAATGACCTGGAGGAGGCAACAGAGTGCACTCTATCAAGTGTGGAGATGACACCAGACTGAGGTACCAGTAGTTACAATGGAGAATAGTGCTGCCATCCAAAGGACCTAGACGTGCTGGAAGGATGAATTAGGAAGAACCTCACGAAATTCAACAGGTGCAAAAGTGAAGTCTCAAATCTAGGAAAGACTAACTCTATGCAGTGATTGAGGCTGAGGACTGACTGAGTAGAAACAGCTCTGCTGAAAGGACTTGGAGCCTTTGGTAGACACCAAGCTGAACATGAGCCAAGAACATGCCCTCACAGTAAAGAAGGCCAAGAGGGTCTTGGGCCATATAACAAGAACATAGTAGATCAAAGGAAGAGGTTATCCTCATATACTCAACACACTTCAGACTCCATGCAGTTTTGGCCTCCCCCTAATACAGGAAAATGTTGATAAACTGGAGCAAATTCAGTGGAGCGCCACTTTCTGTTGGAGGCTGAACTTTCTTTTGGCTAGAAAGAGAAGCTGAGGGAACTGGCTTTGTTCATCCTAGACAAGAGAAGGCTTCGAGGGGGCTAGTAAGAGCCTGTAAATACCTACAGAGAGTTTACATGGAGAACAGAGCTAAGCATGATGGAAAAACAAGAGACAACAGGCAGAGAGTTTCAGACTGGATATAAAGAAAATCTTTTTCACTCTGAGGACAGTCAAGCAGTGGATCGAATTTCCCAGAGAGGTTATGTAGTCTCCATCCTTGGAGGTTTTCAAGACCACACAGCAACCCAGTCTATGTTATAGCTAGCTGTCCTTTGAATAGAGAGTTGGACTTGACACCTTCTGATGTTCCTCCCAACATAAAGTATCCTCTGTCTATTACATGCCAGTACAATGTGGAAATTGGTTGGGCTAAATTACATTTTTACTCAACACTGTGGTAATAGATGTCATTGTACTTTCTGGTGCCAAAAGGGAAGTGCATTCAACTCTAATGTAAATAATAGCAGTAAGCAATTTACACCTACTTGTGTAAAGCAGGATCGATCCAACCCATGCTGTGTGAGATGTACTCTACACAACTTTTGTAGTTACAATTCATTACGACATTCTTATAAAAATTGTCTTTTAAAATGCACAAACCTGATCCAGTGGAAAGGTAGACATATAGATTGGACTGAATACAAATTAATGCTCTGCTGTCTTTGTTACTCAAAGCCAAAATCACATTCTTTGAAGAAGATGGGCAGTAGTTAAGAGAAACCTCTCTGTTCCTCACCACCACCCCTTCACTTACCTTTCCACTGTTTTATTAGAATACAAATATTACAGAGGAGAATAACCCTGATGATATAAAAGTGTAATTTAATTTCATTAAACTTTAAATAGATATAATATTACTTCAGAGGAGACTGGGAGTAAGCAAATAAATGCATTAATCTGCTGTGTCAACAGTCTTGATTTCCTAAACCTTTACCAAGTCATCATTCTGTTAGGAGATTCTGATGTGCTGCAATTTTTACAGCTACTGCTCATATCAAAAATATACTTGGGTACTTTGGAAACACATCTTAATCTTTCACTGCACTGACTTCTTACACAGAACGAAAGGATATAGCAATTCCTGCACATTTTGTGTTGCTCAGAGCTAGCACAGTGCTGCAGGCTTTAGGGAGGCAGAAATCCCTGAAATTATTTTCAGTGATTCAGAAAGGAAAGTCAAGGAAAGCATTCACAGAAGTTCTGAACTAAAAATAATCTATAATAAGAAGTTAAATGTAGAGCAAGATAGACAACAACCCAATATTCTGACAACTTTTTGAGTTTAAACGCCTTTACTTCCTTCTTCATTAGAAAAAATCCAAGCAAAATGATGCTATATATGTCATAGTGTTGTTTCTCTCCTTTTTTTCCCTTTTACCCCCTCACCTTTTTTTTCCTCCCTTTTGTTTCTCCCTTTCAATTTAAATGCCTAGGTGTCCCATGTTTAAGAGCTGTGCCAGTATCAAAAGGTCTTCAAAGCATTTTTCAGAAAACAGGATGCTGCAACAAGAGCAAGTAGCCCTTATTTAAAGGACTGTAGCAAAATATATTGATTTAT